TATTTTTTAATAATTTAAGTTTTTAAATTTGTTATCATTATTAAAATATTATAAATTACGATGTAATTAAATTATACAAAGTTAGGTTTTAATGAGTAATTTTGCTATTATATTAAATATTAAGTATTTTTCGTAAAAGTCACAGTAAAAAAATTTTAAAGTGAGATTTTTAGTTATATATATAATTATTATAAATCTACTGTGGTTTTCTATAGGTTTTAAAAAAAATAGTTTTAAAAAAATTATTAAACACACATATATTTAAAAACATTATACAACTACACGAAAAAATTCTCAACCGCAATTCCAAACGTACCTTTAAATTATGTTAACATCTTTGTTACCAAATAATTTAGCATCTTTATACAAAGGAAGAAGTATGCATTTGCCCTATGCATCTCTTAAAAATTAATTAGAAGGAAAATCATTTTAAAATTAATTGTTTTAATAAATTTTTACTAAAAAAGTTAAAATATTATATTTTAAAATATGAATTAAATTGTTTTTAATTTTTTTATAATATTTTGTTAAACTAATGTAATTCTAAGATAATTTTATAAGTTAAGATGAATATATATTAATCCATTATTAAAAAAAATCTGATTTTAAGGAAAGTTATATTATTTTATATAGGTAAGAATAGTGATTCGGTGAATGCTTTCCAACAAAACAAGAAGGCAACAATAACGCAAAGGATGCAGAACCGGATTGCAGTCACTTGTCATTACAGTACGTATGGTCGGTTACAACATTATTAACATTTTTGGCAGAATTAGAAGATCCAACAATAAATTTTATAGGGCTTGTTTTAGAATAACGGTTTTGGGTGGGAGATTAGTGGTCTAAACAAAATTGCTATATAATATTATTTGATAAATTTTTTAATTTTTACCAACCTTAATTTGTGCCAGATAAAATTTTTGATTTAGCGGATGACTATATAAGTAACAGCTAATAATTAGAGTTAGGATTGAAAGAGTTTGGCAAAATAAATTTTTCGCTCCAAACTACTAATGGAAACTTTTAAATTATTATAATAAATTTATACATAAAATATGGCACAACGCAAATTCTCACTTTTTTCTTATTTTCTTTCTTGAAAGAGGAGAATCATACATGGTGTCATAGAATTTTTAATACTAAGAGGAGGTCGAAGGGGAACCCGCCAGGACTTGAGCTCAAGATCCCTGGCCGGTATTCCCACTAAAGCCATGACATTGGCCTCGCCCACTTCGCCTAGCACGTGTGTAACTTCCCCCATTTTTAATGTCTAAAATTGCACTTATCCCTTAACTCACTTTATTTAAATGTTATATAATCCCAATTTAAAATTTTTTATCTTTATTAAAAATATTATTATTAAATTATTTAAATTGTTAATTAGTTTTTTATTCTAATTTTAATGACACATATAAATCAGTATGTATTTACTCTTTGAATATTGTGAGATTTATTATCAAACAACCAAATATCATAGTAATGATTGGAATCAATTTTATTCTCCTTCGACTGCAGTAATTATCAAGTTAATCGCGCATTCATTAGCAAATTAAACTTTGATTCAGAGGAAAAAGTCAATACCTTCCGTAAAAGACATACCAAAAAACTAATATAAAATACGCCTGGCCGAGAATGATGATAGGGTTGTTTCCTTGGTGAATGAATGGCAACCGACTGTCCAGGGAATTCGAAAATGCAATCTTGTTGGGAAAGTTCTGTCGCGTTGAAGGATTCATTTGAATGGTCTTCAGAATGCTTTGACCATCTTCTAAAATGTTAAAGGAGAGTTTTCAAATCATAGAACTGGGAAAATAGAATCTATCTTCTTAACTTCGACAATCAAAGTGATATGAATCGAGTTTTGCATAACGCTCTTTGGAATTTCAGTAAGGATCATGATTGGCGCACATTTCACTGTACCACATTGCCGTTACACACTCTTTTTTTTGTTAACCTTGGTTAACTCTCACACTTTGTTAGTCTCCATCCTCACCAGATCCATCTTCCTTCTCACCTCCATTCTCATCCTCATCCTAATCATCTATAGGACAATTGCCAACCAGCCCAAACCAAACACCCATTCAATGGGAGGGATCCCACCCGCAAGATTAGCTCCGATTATCTCCCTCGCTACCTCTCCAAAAACCCCTCTGTTCAGAAGGTTAGCTAAGGCAAAAATCAATTCCCAATTCCAGCACTAGACCCTTTGTTCGAGCTGCACTCCTTCATTGAGGAATAGATGCAAATGTAGAACCTAGATCAGAGCGAGGAAGAGAAGGAAGAAGAAGGGGAGGAGAGGGAAAGAAAATCAAAGAACCAAGGCTGGGTGAAAAGGAAAGTTGTGCTAGGTGAAAAGGAGTAACAAGAGAAATGGAGATAAACGGAGATGGGTGAGTGTGTGACGGAGGGTGTGATGACTGAGTGTGCATATATCATTTTCCTTTCAGTAATCCTTTAATAATTCTTAAGAAATTTCAAGTGGTTCTTACTCCGGACCAATATGATTTCACTTCCTGTCCTCTTTGGGTCCATGTCCATGATGTGCCAATTGGCCTTGGATTAGAATGAGTTAGGCATCTAATTGGCAGTGGATATAATAAAACTTTAAGGGTTTGAATCTCCTTATTAGTAGATCAGCCCCTAAAACACTATAAATCATCTCAAATTTCTCCAACAAAGGTCTAAAACCTAAGATTAAAATATGATAGTCTTTTGGAGTTGTGTCATGTTTGTGGGCATATAGGACTCTTTGACGAGCGATTATGAATTAGCTATTCAAATTAAGGAAGGGAAGGAAAAATAGTGTAGCAGTTTGGCACTTGTTTGAAACCTGAGCTAGAAAATATATGGTGCCCGAATACATTGAAAGAGCTAAAGATTATTTGATACCTACTGCTTCTTTGCATATAATCAGCAAAGGACAGGGACAAGAAGCTACCTCTAAGCATGCAGCAGCCATTGAGGCACAAAGGGATCAACTAACGGTCTTAGGCATTAAAGGTGAAGAAGCGTGTATCAACAATAACTTGCAAGCAAAGGAGGTCACTGGTGAGAGGAATCCTATTGCCGTCTTGATTATGCAATTGATTGAACTACCATTGAGGTTTGATGGTGGACTTTGTTAGAGATGGTCAATCCTCACACGACAACTTCTGAACACAAATGAATTCTAGAGTTTCCTCCCGAGCTAAGGATGTAAAAGGGAAGAGGAAGTTGGCTCGTGATGCATTTGAAGATGGAAAGGCATCTAAGGTCAAGTTGGATGACTGAGGTACTTCAATGGCAACGTAGGTGGATGTTTTTCATCCATTTGCAGATTGGAAACTTATCTGAGTCTAGACAGAGCTTTGTAGTGTTGGGAGACCACTACATTGCCATGTCTTTTGATTTCTCGTATTAGGACTAAATGGTAAAATAGATGTAGTTACCAAAGGTGAATAAAAAGCTCCAAAGTACATAATCTCTCTATGGTCTATATTAATATTTAGAGGCTTTCTTTACTTTCCTATTTGTAAAGGGTAGTAACTCTTTATATTAGTATCATGGGTGTTACCTAACTTATTAATATTTCATCTCCCAAAAGAACTTAGTGGTAATCTCCCTTTTGTAGAAATAAAAGATCTTGAGTTTAAATCATATAATATACGGGTGGAGTGAGTTAAATTTACTTTCCATTGTGCAATCTAGGATGACAAAAAAAAAAAAAAAAACCCTAGTTTTGCCAACTAATTCATCAAAGAAGAAAAAGAAGAAGAAAAAAAGAAAAAAGAAAAAAATTTCTCACCGCCTTAGTTTTCGTTTTCTTGGTTATCTTTCTGTTTCATTCCTCCTGTGCAAGCTTCCATGCTCTCCATGAAACTTGCAAGTTCGCTACCATGACCGAGCAAAATGTCACTAAAGTTTTTTGCCTTTCATTCCTAAAAGAATATCCCCAAAGCAAGAATGTCAGCCTAGACCAATCATCCAAGTTTTCAACTAACTGACTCATATATAATTCAACAACCATCGAAGAATCCATCATTTCTAAAACTACCAAAATATGAAATCTCAAGTAGTAATGCACTGCATTGCTTAAGTGATTGCTTTGAGCAATATGCTTTATTATCCTTAGATGTAGATAATGCTCAAAGATGCTTTGAGGCTAAAAATTACAAATGCATTCATATTAATGTCAGTAGGTTCCTGAATGCATCGTTTGTTTTCAAAGATTGTTTTAGGGATGCAAAAATCGAGTCTTTTTTGTCTCAGGATAATGATATCTTCCTCAAAATGAGTGAAATTACTCTTGGTATCGTTGTTATGGTTAGTAGTTGTTATGTCGGTAGTCTGAGGTGATCGATCTCGAACTCTCTAAGCCATTCTTGACCTTGGGTTGCCTTAAGGGGTTACTTGAAACTTGATGAGCTCAATCAATCTCGAGCTCGTCCACCCTATTCTTACTCTACAGTAACTTCGTACATGCACATATCTTTTAGGAGAGTTTCCTGCGATCATTGACACATATGATTTCGATTGCCCATGAAGATCAACATGCGGATGCCTCCTTAAAGGCTATAAATACACCCCAAGGGTCCTCCTCCAAAGGTAATTAAAAACCAATCTCAAGCCTAGATCTTGCTTCATATTTGGTAGCTCTAATTATTGTTGATTTAAGCATCGAAGTACTTACCTCGAGGACTGACCTTGGGGCTCTACAGGTTAGCTGAAGTGAAGGTTCGAGCTTGGGAGTGCTTTGAAGTTCTCTACAATAACATTTGCACCGTCTGCGAGAACCCAAGCTAAGAGCCTTGTCAGCAGTTGATATGATGGTTAACACACATTCAACATAACACGAAAGTCCTCAACAAGACCGAGGAATGGGTTAGTTCCCTAGTGGTAACCCTATGTCTCACCACACTACACCACCTCCCATGTAGAAGGAACTGGAGAGAATAACCTGCAACACCCAGCAAGGGTCCTAAATGACACCATAGCTGCCTAGCTTAACACTATGCAACAATAGTTTGGTGTGTTTCAGCTTTTGCTTGCATAGTTGTTAGCTAGAAACAACCCAGGCAATCCCCTCATCACCTTGTTAAACCTAGCTAACGATGCACCCAATCACCAGCCCTAGCAAAATTTTAATTCACCAATCCGAATTGTCGTTCCACCTCAAAGCGAGTCCTAAGGCCATTCCCACATGGCACCTCCATCTCCAAACCCACCTCAGCTAGTTGTCTCAAGCGTTTCCAAGAGGTTGGATAACTTGGAAAAGATGATGGCCGAGAACCAAAATGCCCAACCTCCAGCTTAGCCCAATCTACCTTTTATCCCTACCCCCCTTAACACCAACATCATTTAAGAACCATACCCATCTGGATTCAAAATGCCTCAATTTGAGACGTTTGATGGCACTAAAGACCCTGATGATCATTTGCACACATTCTACTCTATTATGCAAGTTCAGAATGCCTCATATGCCTTGATGTGCAAAATATTTCCCTCTACATTGCGTGGTAACTCTTAGACTTTGTACTATAGCTTGCAGCCAAACTCAATCAACTCATACGTTGAGCTGGCATCATCTTTTGCAACTAAGTTCTCAAGTCGACGACTGATAAGATAGACAACGTTCAAGCTCATGTGAGTAGTTCAGAGGGAAGGTGAATCTTTGAAGAACTACATGAATAGATTCAATGATGCTGTGTTGGAAATCGGCTCATTCAATCAAGCTGTGGGGTTAGCTGCCATAATTCAAGACATCAAGCATGAGAGATTTCGAGACAACCTGATAAAGCACCCTCCTACCACGTTTGATGAAGCTAATGAGAGATCTTGTAAGTTTATTCAAGTTGAAGAGTATGCCTTATCTAGCAAGCCCACACCTAGTAAAGAAGTCAAACCTCTGACTTAGAGAGAGGAAAGGCAGAGTAAGAAGAGATTTAAAGTTGTGTAGAATCGAGGTCCACTCCCTACCAAAGTTGATAGGCCCAACTTGAGTACCTCGCAACCTACGGCAAAGCAGATCACTTCGACTCCATTTACATTGTCGAGATCATAGATTCTTATGCAGATTAAGAACAAAATGGAGCTTAGAAGGCTCCCACCTATGCGAACTTTGCTTGTCTCTAGAGATCATAGTAGGTATTGTGACTTGCACTAGGATCACGGACACACACAAAAGAATGTAATAGTTTGAAGTTTGAACTTGAAGGCTTAGCTCGTAAAGGGATGCTGAATGAATACATCTCAAATAAAGATCAGCTCGAGTTCGTGCGAGAGCAGGGGCAACAATCCCAAGGACCTTGAGGAATAAGCAATAAAACCAAAGTTAGTTACCAACTGCCACTTCCTCTACCCTCACGCATCATTCACATGATAACTGGCATGCTTGAAGTTGGAGGAATGAGTTCCAAGCAACAAAAGTTGTATGTGAAGGAGGTGAAGCATCAAAATTGGGCTCAAAAGAGGAAATTTGACAATGAGGAGTGGAAGAGCCGATCCATAACATTCACATCAGTTGACCTCGATGGTGTAATCACTCCACACAATGACCCACTTGTCACCTCGATTATCATCAACAACTGTGAAGTCCAACGTGTCCTAGTTAACACTAGAAGTGCCCCAAACATAATGTATTATCACTGCTTTGAAAGCCTTCGTCTCGATCCTACTCTTTTGATGGCCTTATCTATGGATTCAACAATCAACTAGTTCTCATTAAAGGAGTGTTGAGGCTCAGCATGGCATTCGGCTCAGGTTGGAGATATGTCACTCCCTTAGTTCGGTTCTTAGTTGTGAAGATGGCATCATCCTTTAATATTGTCATTGGAGGGCCAACTCTGACCAAGATCTAAGTTGTTGTTTCACAGTCCCACCTGTGTATGAATTTCCCTATGCCCATGAGAGTGGCGACCTTGAAAGGCAACCAAGAGGTGGCTAGGCATTGCTACATGACTTTGATCACCTGGCCTTGGAAAGACAAGCAAGTAACTCCTCCAGAGCCAGCTCATCATGAAGTCCCAGCTACACAATAGATTGATGACAACGACCCCACTACCAAGACACAGATTAGGACCAAACTGAACTCGAAAGAAAAAGAAAAGCTTACTAGCTTTCTAAAGTCAAACAAAGATGTATTTGCTTAGACCTCTGCTGATATGCCCGGAATACCCACCTCGGTTGTAGTGCATAAACTAAGCATTAATCCTCTAAAGAAGCCCGTAGCTCAAAAAAGGCACCTGTTTGGAGGAAAGAGGTTGCAAGCTATAAGGGAAGAGGTGTAGCAGCTTTTGCAGGCAAGGTTTGTAAGAAGAGTAGATTATTGTGAATGGGTTGCTAATCTTGTCTTAGTCAAGAAGGTGAATGGCAAACGGAGAATGTGCATTGATTATACTAATCTTAATGATGCTTGCTTAAAGGATTGCCATCCCTTGTCGAGTATAGATAAGGTAGTAAAAGCTACATCCAAAAATGAAATGCTCAGTCTTTTGGATGCTTACTTGATGTATCACCAGGTCCATATGGCACCCGAGGATAAGGTGAAGACCTTCTTTTATGCCGGCGATGAGATCTACTACTATGTAATAATGCCGTTTGGACTTAAGAATGTAGGAGCTACATATCAGAAAATGGTGACAATTGTATTTCAAGCTCAAATTGGCACGAACTTGGAAGTCTACGTCGATGACATAGTAGTCAAAAGCCTCAAGGTAAAGGATCACCTTACTAACTTGGCAGAAACATTTCACAACTTGAGGAAACACAACATGAGGTTAAACCCAGCCAAGTGTGTCTTTGATGTTGAATTTGGTAAATTCTTGGGATTCATGGTTTCTAGGAGGGGGATATAAGTCAATCCCAAGAAGATAAAGGCAATAGAGAAGATGAAACCACTGAAGTTAGTCAAAGATGTGCAACGCCTAACTGGGTGAGTAGTAGCTCTGCACAAGTTCATCTTGAAGTCGACAAATAAATGCTTGCCTTTCTTTAAAATCCTGAGATTTATGTCGTAGAAAGATGAAACAAAGAAGCACAAAAAGTTTCAATAGACCTCAAAGTGTCAAGTTGCCTTCGACGAGCTTAAGGCATACCTCAATTCACTATCTCTGTTAACCAAGGCTGACGATGGTGAGATTCTTTACCTCTATCTCAGGATATCCGACACAACAGTAAGCTCGGTCTTGGTCAGAGAAATGGGAAAGCAACAAAGGCCAGTGTACTACGCTAGTAAGGTACTATAAAGAGCCGAACAGAGATACTCCATAGTAGAAAAGGTGGCTCTAGCAGTTGTTACCACAGCCAAGAAGCTGAGGCCCTATTTCCAAGCTCATCCTATTGTTGTGCTAATTGATCAACCTTTGAGGCAGATTTTGCAAAAGCTGGAGTGCTCAGGTAGGCTGATTAAATGGGTAGTGGAGTTGGGGGAATTCCAGATTACCTTTCGGCATAGGTTGGCAATCCAAGCTCAATCTTTAGTAGACTTTGTGGTAGAATGCACCTTTAGCCAAGAGAATGCCAACTCTGAAGTCGAGTTATGGACCCTTTACGTCAACGGGTTATCTAGCAGCAAAGGGTCAGGTGCCGGAGCAGTGTTAATTGGGCCTGAGGGTTTTTGCAGTGATCACACCTTGAAATTCAATTTCAAAGCAACGACTACCATGGCTAAATATGAGGCGGTTCTCCTTGGACTTTGTCTAGCAGCCGAGCTGATGGTTAGATCCTACAAGTTTATAGCGAGCCACAGCTTGTAGTCAACTAGGTGAATTCCATATGTGAGGTCACAGATCCCACCCTACCCAAGTACTTAGCCATTGTTTCTAAATTGAAGTGCCATTTTGAGAGATTTTAGCTCACAAAAATCCAAGAACAGAGAATGAGCACGTAGATTTCTTGTCAAAGTTAGCTTTTGATAGCTTTGGTGGAGCGACATCTATCTATGTAGAGGTCCTTGATAAACCAAGCTTCCAGAGGTTGAAGGTGATGGAAATCAATGTTGATCCTAAAACTTTGAGCTGGACAAACCCCATCAAGGCTTACCTCCGAGATGGAACCATCCCAAACAGTAAACAAGAAGAGATGAAGTTGCAGAGAAAGGCATCCCGATACATCGTAGTTGATGGTATCTTGTATAAGAGGTCATACTCGCTTCCTCTCCTCTAGTGTTTGATGCCATATGAAGCTGAGTATACCTTAAGAGAAGTCCACAAGGGCATGTGTGGAAGTCATGTGGGAGCACGGACTCTAGCCCACAAGGTACTTCCGTAGGAATGCTATTGGCTTAACATGTAAGAAGATGTTAGGAAGTTTGTTCAGAAATGCCAAAAATGCTAATTCTTTGCACATCTCACTCACCAACCAACGGAAGAAATCGTTAACTTGGTTGCATTGTGGCCTGTTGCCTAATGGGGAATAGACCTTCTGGGTCCTTTTGTCAAAGTTGTGGAGGGATTGACACATTTGATCATGGCAATTTACTACTTTACGAAATGGGTGGAAGCTCGACCTCTTTCTAGTTTAACCTCGAAAAAGATTGAAAATTTTGTTTTCAACTCTGTCATCTGTAGATACGGGATATCGAATCAAATCATTGCTGATAATGAACCTTAGTTCAATTGCACGTCTTTTAGGGACTTCTACTCCAGTTATGAGATTAAGTTGGTTTTCACTTCAATTTAACATCCCAAGATGAACGGAATGGTTAAGTCTATCAACAAAGTTATTTTGGAAGGGATCAAGATGAGGTTGGATCACTTCAAAACCAGGTGGGTGGACGAGCTCAATAGTGTCTTGTGGGCTTACTGAACTACAAGTCGAATGGCCACAGGTACGCTGCTAGTTCCAATTTCCCCTATATTTCCTTATTCGAAGTTAGAAATAATTATGTTAAGTAAACCTTTGAACAACCATTTCTTTTAATTAGACGAAAAACCCTATCACTTAGCTTTTGGGACTGAGGTGGTCATTCCCATTGAAATTGGTGTCTTGAACTTGAGAGTTAGCCTTTTCGATGCAACAAAAAATGAGCAGCTACCCAGGGAAAACCTCAATTTTTTGGATGAAGTTCGTGAACAAGCTTGGCTTTGAACACTGGCATATAAGTAGAAGGTAGCCAACTTGTATAATAAGCAAGTCCGACCTTGAAGTTTCAGGGTTGGTGACCTTGTCCTCAGGAAGGTAGGGCTCATTAGCTTCAAAACCCGCTTCAGCAAATTAGCACCAAACTGAGAAGGTCCATATGTGATAGCTGAAATACCTCCCCTCCACGCCTATGTACTTCAAGATGCTGAGGGTAAGAGAGTTCCAAGAGTATGGAATGTGAATAATTTGAAGAAGTTCTATTCTTAATAAAACCAGGTCTCGTTCCAATTTTTATCGGCTTTGTATAATGTTTCAATTCCCAAAGTCAAGGTCAGAGATATGTTCTTATTGTACTTCAACCTATTCTTTTTAACTATAGGAGTCGAGCTCAGATACTTCCAATTTTACTCTTAAGTAACAATTCTAATGCCAGAACTCACATTTAAATGTTAAAAAAAAAAAAAAAAACTATAAATTTCTCAAATTAGTACTATATTCATCTGAAATGAAGTACAAATATATCTAAATTTGCAAATACAAAAATTAAAGATGAGCTAGCCAAGATTAGTCAATAACTAGATGCTACTGTTCCACTTCTTTGTTTGGTAGCATTATCTACGACCTCGGTCCCACCAACCACTTCAACTTCATCCTCATTGATAGTAATGAACTCGTACTCCAGATGACGTGGAAGCACGGTTCATCTAGCTTCGTTTCGCTCCCACTTTAGTGTTGCTTCGGGCCGAAATTCACTTGTCTTGCTATCTCCATCTTTCTCCACACCGGCCTCCTAAGGTTCAAACGTGACCTTAGTCATGTCTACCTTAGGATTCTGGGCCTTCATCTTCTTTCTACAATCGGTGAAAGCCATGACCAGTGTGGGTAGCCGGTAGAGATCCACGATCTCTGAGAAAGTCACCGATTTCGCCAAGTCTGAGCCATGTTACTTGATTGAATTGTGGGCCGCTAGCTTGGCTCTCTTCTACACTTTAACCAGCTCATCTTCTAACTTGGCTAGATTCTTTTCGCACTTCTTTCTCTTCTTCTCTTCAAGCTCAGTAGCTTTCTTAGCGATAGCCAACTCCTCCCTAACTTTCTCCAATTTGGAAGTTAGGTCATTGAAGTTCTGCTAAGCTAACTCCTTCTGTTGACTAAACTCATCATTTTTGTTAGCCAAGTCATTTCTTTCCTTGAGACAGTTGAAGTATTTGGCTACTAATACATTCATAAGGTTTATCGTCTGCAAGAAGAGTTAAGGTCAAAAAAGAAGAAGAAGAAGAAGAAGAAGAAGAAGAAGAAGAAGAAGAAGAAGAAGAAGAAGAAGAAGAAGAAAGACGTGTTCTAGCTCTTACCTCAAGGGCGTGTCTAACAAAGCTAGATCCTCCATTTGTATTCGCCTTGTCCCTTGCCCTTTACAAATCCACCTTTGGAAAGGTGGATTTGATGAACCGTTTGGTAGCTGTCCTGTTGACGTTGTTAAAGAAATTGGACTTCTGCTTTGGGAAAAGGTCACCCTTCCCCTTTCCATGGATCACCTTGCCCACCTCTCACAGGGTTAGGTCAATTTGCACTGGTGGAGGTCGAGGTATGAACTCAATTAAGGCGTTGGGCCGTGGCTGCTGCGGCCTCATCCTTTTTTGAGCTGTAGCCTCCTTCTTAGCCTTAGCCCTCTTCCTCTTTTGCTTTGAGCTGGGCTTGTTTCAGCTCGAGCTCTTCCACTTGGATGGGGCCTTAAAGTTGCACCCATAGTTCTCTCCTCTATAATGACAGCAATCGGAGCCCTTGACCTCTTCTATGTGAGAGCGATGGTCTTTCCTTCATATAGCAACTGATTCATCTCTTTTATAAAACAAAACAGAGTTAAAATTTTTTAATCAGATTTACAACTCAAGTGAGTCTAGATTTGAATAAACAGACCTTCACTCAATGAACTCGGCCTATAGATCTCAGATGCCTCTAGCATCTTTGGGCTGGTGAGATGCATGATGTCCACCACCTCCCAACCCCCCTTCTTCAACCTCTCCACCTCTTCCTGCTCCCCCACACTTTATGTATATTTGTTGGGGTTAGTCTTTTTTCCTTTCCACTTGTAGAGCTCCAACACCTCTGCATCTGGTTTCTCTCACTCCGTATCATCTACAAAAAGAAATTTGTTTTTCCATTCTTTATTGGAAGATGGACCTGCACTACATAAATTCCTACTCCCTCCTCCAACTGCCCGGGGTGTGAAGTAAAACCACCCCCTTTCCTTGTTGCTTTTTTCCTTTATTAAAAAGAAGAACTTGAATAGGTTGACTGTGGGGATAAGCACACCTCGTGTTCAGCAATATACAAGAAACCCTATTATCAACCAAACTACGTTGGGGATCAGCTACATTATCCCTAACCCATACTCTTTTAGCAAAGCCACTAGCAACTCAAGTATGGGGAACCTAAGCCTAGCCGATAATTAATGGCCATATATGGGCATCCAGTGGTCCCTCGACACTAAACACGCCTTTTCCATCTCACCAGCAAGCCTACGCAGCACGTGCCCCCAGATAGCATACTACTCCACCAAGTGAGTGAGGCCACTCTTGCTCTTCCAAAACGCCTCATACCCCACCAGTTCAGAAATCACCTCATCCTCCTCGTTAAAACACTTGGCCTTACTATTATTAACATCCAAAATATTGGATGGAACTCCCACCTCTGCCTCCCTAACATCCTCCCCACCTCTTCCACTCCTTTCACTTTCTCCTCTGCTAGAAGTTTCTACCTTGCTACTGCTCCTGCTTGAGCTCATCCCTCACACCTTTTCACTTCCAATGCTTACTATTCCTTCTGAAGACATCTCTATTTTGTAACTCTCACTACAAGGAGTAGGAGGTGGAGAATAGTTAGGATCCTCAGTTAGCTCTCTCTCACGTTCTATTTCACTTTTAGACCTATTCCTATCTTCCCTGTTTGAACTTAGTCCTAGGTCTGAACAAGTTATAATTAAATAAGAAACTTCACTTAAACTAGAAGATGAGCTTATGAGGTTACTTGAATTTGTGATTAGCTCTCTTATGATTGGAAGCTCGAGCTCGACAGTTGAGAATTTGGACAATGAAGTGCTCTAATGTAATTTTGGCAACACTTCGCTATAGATTCAGCAAGGTAAATTCTAGACAACTCAAGCCTGGCTATTTATTCTAGGACCAATTTCCCTCAACGATCACCATCTCTTGCATCTAATGGCCAAGATTGCGTCCTTTTGAATTCGACAGTTATTCCTGACTATGCTATATATTACAACACATTACACGAGGACAACTGTCAGCTTAAAACTAATTTACTTTTAGTTGCGTTTCAAAAACCTATCCAAATCCAATGTCTTTAACTATTTTCAACCCTCATATCATTCACAAGTGAATGACTTCGGAGGGGGGAGTAGTGTTATGTCGGTAGTCCGAGGTGATCAATCTCAGACTCTCTAAGCCATTCTCAACCTTGGGTTGCCTTAAGGCGTTACTTGAAACTTGATGAGCTCAGTTGATCTCGAGTTCATCCCCCCTATCCTTACTCTACAGTAACTCTGTACATGCACAGATCTTTCAAGAGAGTTTCCTGCGATCACTGACACATATGATTCTGATTTCTCATGAAGAACAACATGTGTACACCCCCTTGAAGGCTATAAATACCCCCTAAGGGTCCTCTTCCAAAGGTAATTAAAAATCGATCTCAAGCCTAGATCTTGCTTCATATCTAGTAGCTTTGATTATTGTTGACTTAAGCATCGAAGTGTCTAGCCTGAGGACCGACCTCGGGGCTTTGCACGTTAGCTGAAGTGAAGGTTCAAGCTTGGGAGTGCTTTGAAGTTCTTTGCAACAATAGTAGTCACCTTCACTAAGGAGTCTAAGCTCCTAGTAGTAAGATTATATGGTTTCTTAAACTCATATTAAGAGTCATTTAATCTTTTCTATTATTTGGAGTTTTTTTTCTCCTTTTATTTTAATGAAAAATTGACTACTTTATTGATTTGCAAAGGTGGCTCATATATTGCTTAAGGAACATGATTGGTATATCCTTTGTTTCAATTTATCTATTAGCATTCATTACTTCAACTATTAAATTTTATAATAATTTCTTTTGCTTTAAATTTAAATTTAGAATAATAATTTTTTAAAAAATATGTTGAACTAAAAAGTGTATCAATTATAAGTGTATCAATTATTATCCATTGCTTAAACATCATGCACACAATAAATTTCAAGAATCTAAAGAACTCTATCGCACAAGAATCACTTATGGCTTTATGTCTAGAGATTGAAAGAAGTTAAATTGTACCATTAATTAGACGGAAATTAACGAACAACAAGCCAAAAACAACATTGGGGACAACCCAAAAACTGCACTTTTGCTTCTAAATATATGGCGGGGGATATATTATGATTAAATGCTAATTTTGGTCCCTCAACTCTGTAGAGTTGCACTTTTTTGGTCCCTCAACTATTTTTTGCATTTTTTTTATCCCTCAACTCTAAGAACTACACAATGTTGGTCTCTTCATCAGTTTGGAACGTTAACTCTATCCACGTGGCATTTTTTATATTTTTTTTAATGATGTGGCAAATTAAATTAAACTTCTCAACTAGACTATGGACCCCACCTTTTAATCATGGTTAAATACCCTTTTTGGTCCCTCTACTATTGGAAAAAGCCCCATTTTGGTCCCTATACCGAAAAAATCCCCTTTTTAGTCCCTAAATTTTAAAATTCAGCCCCTTTTTGGTCCTTCCATCAGTTAAGTGATAGGGTGGCACTATAATCTATTAAATATTTTGTCCTTTTTCTTTTCATTGTTGACGTGTTATTACATGTTTGCAAAATTGATGAGTTGGCAATAAAATTTATGTAATCTCAGCTAGCTACCCAAGAAGGGGGGTGAATTGGGTCTTATCAATTTAAACTTAAAAACTTGTTTCTTTTTCTTTCAAGACTTAAATCAAATTTGCATTTTATAAGCTGTTGTGAAGAATAAACAAGAGTAATATAGTGCAGAAAAATAAAAGAGAGGGAAGAGAAAATCAAGCCGTGATTTATAGTGGTTCCTCCAACCCGGAGTACGTCCACTCCCCAAGCCTCCTTGCTCGAGAGTTCAATCCACTAGAAATCTCTTGCTTACGGGTGCAAGATTAAACCGGAACAAACTCTTGCTTGCGGGTGCAAGATTAAATCCTCACAAGTGAATCTCAACTCACTCAACCCCTTCAAGGATTAACCTAATCTAAGAAGAATACAAAACCCTTGTAAGACAATATACCCAAAAGCTCACAAGAAGAAAAGAAGAAGGAAACCCAGAACAATATCAAACTCAGTTTCTGTAGTAGTTCATCCTTCTTCTATTATTTTTCAGATCTAAATTTTTGATCATTTTAATAGAGATTTGGAGCCTTGCAATTAAAGTCCCTTCAAAGCCGCCTCACAAAAGCTCCAATTAGATTCCACCTTATTTTACTATTTTTGACTTGACTTTGGAAAGTGCTCAGACAATTGGTTCCCCCAAGACCCATTAAAAATAAAAATAAATGGATAGTTGAGCTGTCAAAATTTACCCTTCCAAAATTTTTGCTTCAAAGCCAGAAATAATGGTTCGAACCATTTTCGGAAAACAAAAGTTTGAGATTGGTTCGAACCAAAATAAATTGGTTCGAACCCAGAACTCTAAACAAGGAGAACATGAATTAATTCTAATCGTGGAGAAAGATTAGAAACCTTAGATTAATTTTCCTGCACACTTAGTACAAAAATAGATTAAACTCTTTTGAATCATGGTTTTAAATCATCATAAAAAAACAAAGAGAACCTAACAATTTATTTTCCATGTAATCAATAGGTTCTAATATATATATATATATATTTTAAAAAATCATCATTTTCCTTTTGTTTTTTCATTTCCCATTTCTATCCTTGTCTTCTCCCTAAACATAATTAACTTTAATTTCTTTCATCTTCTTCTTTCTCTTCACCTTATCCTCTTCCTCATCCTCGGCATCATCTTCACTCCTCTTTGCCGTCCTCTTCATCATCCTAGATTCCTTGGGGAGCCTAGAAATTGGGTTCCTCTGGGTTTTGCGGGGAACCTAGGTTTTGGGTTCCTCTTGGAACCTAGGTCTGTGTTCCCTGTGGAACCCACGAGGAGCCCAGATCTGGGTTCTGTGCAAAACCTAGAACTTAGGTTTCTCGTAGAACCTAGATTTGGGTTCCTACCCTCTTTTTTTTTTTTTTCATTCTTTTTTAATTTTGAATGTATCTATCTAATGAAACCAAAGTTTCACATTCAGTTTTGAATTAGAGACACAAAGTTCTGGGTTTGACAATGAAGAGAATGATTTATTTTGTAGAGAAGAAGTTAGAGTTGTGGAACCCAGAACCTGGGTTTCTCTTGGAACCCAGATCTGGGTTCTTACACTTGTAATTAATTTTTATTTTTATCAATGAAAATATTCTTATAAATTCTCAATTATATCTTGATGAATATCAGATGTTAAGGGTTGATTATGAATAAAAACAAGAATTTTGAAAGAAGGAAGTTGAAGTCCGAAGAGGGAACTGAAAAAAATGAAATTAAAATTATTAAATTTAATCAAAGGAAATAATAAAAAATTAAATACTATATATTAAATGAATCCAATAAAATTAAAATTATTATAATAATTTAATATTTCTTCTGTTCACATTATTATTTTTATAAGTATTGTATTTTTCATATATTTTTGGGGAAAAAAATTTTTTTTTGGTCCACATCATCAATTTTTTTCCATGTGGCATTTTCATGTCCCTTTTTGGATTCTATTGATTAACATGTAATAACATGTCAACAATGAAAAGAAACAAAAAATATTTAACAGATTATAATGCTACGCTGTCACTTAACTGACGGAAGGACCAAAAAGGGG